TTCCATTGCTGACTTCTCTTTTTTCTAGTCTTAGTTGTATCCTTATAAAATACTAATGCTTACTTTCGTTTCAGTAGTAAATGAGCAGATATGAAAATACCAATACAAAAAATACATTCGATTACAGGAATGTCTCATCATCTCAAAAGAAAACTCTCGAAAGAATAAATCTTGAGTGCTCTTCAATTACTATTCTAGTTTAGTAGATAGAACACCAGAAAACCCAACATCATTGATATTCTCTCGGTTCAATTATAGTTAGGATGCGTTTTGATCGCTGCCGAACAAGAAATCAACGTGTTTTTCGAAAATTGATTCTGAATTCGAAGTAAAAAACACTCCAAAAAAAAGATGAAATCGCGAAGTTTTGTTTTAGAGTGTTCTTTTGATCAGTCTTTTTTAAACTTTTCCAGTGGTTGAAAACATGAATCCAGCATGTTATTTTAATCAAAATCGATAGATTTACTTATATTGGGTTTATTCGAGATTTTCAGCTATACACATGATTATGTTTCTCTTTTCTTCGTTTCGTTTATGAGATTATGATTCTCATTACTCATTGCATAAAGACAACGTACAACAGTTTGTAACTGTAACCATTTGGCTTCTCGAAGAGAGAGTTGTCTAATGTTTCTTTTTCTCAAGAGAAATTTCAAAAGCTGTTCGTCGTTTTTTGATTGGATTTAATTGAACGATCTTCTGATCAGCTGCTGATGCATTGAAAGGATCTCCAGTTTTTGCGTCTGAGTTATTTAGTTTGTAGTTCTACGTTCTAATGGAAAATGTTCATGATGATACCTCTAACGTGTCACTAGTACCGGGCGACTCAGCAGCTTACAGTAATCTTTACTTATAGATACCTGGAGAGCGTGTCCATGAGACAATGGAGGAAAACAACTTGCTTCATATTTTGTCCATTCAATGCATTGATGTCTGAAACACACTACCCCAAAATGTCAGCTTTCAATAGTCCTTCTCTGAACAAATAGGCAGTACTAACTGTGTATCCTTACCATATCCTTATGAGAAAAGAAAGCAGCAAGCACCTGTATAATTTGCGTTTACTTTGTTTCAATGAATTACTGAAATTGTTTCTAAATTATACTAAATGATGGTGATTTAAGAACTGAACATAAAATTCTATTTGAATAGAATATAATGTCGACCGATTCATATCTTATAAATTCAACATGAATAAAAAATGAATCTGTCGATAAATCTAAAGGGTTCACTTGATAACAATGGGTACCGTGTTAGAATTCAGAATGAGAGAATGCCAGCCTGAATTTTATATGCATCATGCAACTTTTTATTTGCTACAAAATTTTTAAAACGCATTCAAAATAAGTGGTATCTAGGAGTGGTCCTTTTACAGGGATGCCAGCTGTATCGCTACAATCAACGTGAACTATTCTGAATTCTGAATAGTTCGCGCTGATTGTAGCAACACAGCTGGCATGCCTGTCCTTTTATCTTAATTTAATATTAAGCGTTAAGTTTTCACTTAACACTTGATATTAATAAAAAAAATTTCATCTCATCACTGAATTACTTAATATTAAGTATCTACCGGAATATTGACTTGTAAATCATGATCATCTACACCGTCATCATTTTTTTACAAAATCAATCATGCAAAAACTCATATGTTCAACATTTTTTAAATTTATCAAAACACGTTTATTAATTAATCGAACATTTTCGTTTCTGAGGCAGAGAATTGCGCGTCTTGAAAATTTTTCAACATCACTACAGGTAAAACTATTACCAGAAATATCTGTAGCTATGTCATTAGATATTAAAGAAATCGGAACTTCAACTGAAAATTGGGTTTTAGGTGTTACTGGTATAGGTATCATTCTATCACCGATATCTAAAAGCCATTTAGAAAAAATTAGGGTCTGTGATAGCTCGCATATTGCGTCTTAATTTGAATGTTTGAAAAAGAGGCCAAACAGAAGATATTTTGATTGTTGAAGCAATAACGGCACATCGAGATCCTTTTCTAATAACTGGAAGAACTTGCTGAAAGTCATCCCCTAACACAACAATATTTCTACCGAAAGATATTTGAACACCCATCAAATATTGAAATCTTAAATCAACTAGTTCTAAAGCTGGGAGCTTCCTCCAAAATAAGCAAATCAATCGATTTCAAAATTCTTTTTTGGCTTGAGCAAGTCTAGGAAATTTTACAGTAGAAAGATCTAAGGGTAAACCAAAGGCTGAATGGCATGTAATTCCACCGGGTAATAAAGTAGCAGCTATTCCTGTTCATGCAACGATTCATTTTTCTTACCAATGAGATTAACTTTTTGATTTATGGCACAGTACAAAAACGTTTTTCCACTTCCACTGGGCCCGTCTAAATAAAAATATTTCTGCGACTTCAAACTGACTATCCATTTTAAAATAGTATCCGCAGCTAAAAGTTGATCATTATTAAGATCATTCCATAATAAATTATTAATATTAACAGTACAGTTAACTAAATTATCTTCGTGATCTGAAATATCTTCGAAATTAGGAAACGCTAAAAATTGATTAAAATCGAAACCATCTTGTTGAATTTGTATTCATATATCATTAACGCATAATTTTAGACTTTTGTCTACACTGTGTCCTTGTTAAATAAAATCTTCAATCATATTTTCTTTGAAATCTTCGAGAAGTTGCAAAGTATTTGCAGGATTACAATGACAAATAATTGTAACTAATAATGATCGTAAAGATTTAGGCATCATATAGCTTGATGCTTCGTACATACAAGCAGGCCACTCATTGGAATTATTAATTAAACCTCTAACTTGAGCTGCTTCTTTGTATGTCAAATAGGTTTGACCATTGAATTTGTTGAGATTTTCAAAAGTTGTAGCATCCGGACCTTTCACTGAGAGCAAAATCAAACGAAGATGACACAATTCTACATCTCTGGGAGATACAGAAATAATTCTACCGATTTTCTTTTTCTCCGTGATGAGAAACCTCTGAACGTGTAACCCATTATTTATTTTTAAATACATAATGATTAATAATATCTTAGTATAAATATTGATGAGCACTCGAATCTGAAACACTTAAATCGAAATCGGCAGTTAAAGTAATGCATGCGACTGACTCTCGTAGCAAAGCAGTTTCAGCTTGACTCTCTTCGAAAAAGATGGATTGGCCATCTTTCAAATGAATAGACAACATGACGACATTATGAGATTGGCCGTGAATAGGAAAATCTTGAAGATGCCAAGCTACTCCTTGAGAGCTAATATAATGACAATTTAAATATTGTTTGATTTCGTCATAATCAACAGCTATTTTTACATTGTCGTTTAAATTTACTTGGACGCCGATTTGAGCACAGTCGTAACCCTTTGTAATATATTTGTTAATGTATTTGATAGCTTTAACAGTTGAACATAGTTCAACATTAATATGAGCATTATATTTAAGACTTAAAAATGAATTATATGGCACAACAAAACTATTATCGACTTGAATATTTTTACGTGTAAAATGAGCTTCATTACAATTATTTCGGCGTCTATATATTTGATAATCATCTGTAGATACATCAGTTTCATTNCCGACAACCGAACGAAAAAAAGTTTCTTGTACAACAAAACAAACATTGCCACGATGATCAGCGAGGTCAGAAACCTATGAGACGATCGCTTTGAACTTGCATCGAGCATGAAAACATGCTTTCCGGGCTGGAAATCTGGTTTTTCACAGGTTTTGCTGTATGAACTGTAGCATTCGAATGCAAAGTCGTAGAAACCTGCGGTTTGCGTAGAACTGTAGAGAAGACTCTTGCGCATCGAGTGCACTGATTGAAGCGAAAAATCCATCACGTCTTCCGTCTTTGGCAAGCTACTTTTTCAAAGATTTGCCTGAAACCCCCCCTCAGACCTGTTTGAAAATTTTTCTTTTTATATATGACTACGTGCTCCGGTCTTCTCTTTCTAATAGTGAAAACCGCAGGTCGCTAGCTATTTCTGTTCTCGAGTTATTCAACTCGCAATCGCGCGCATTCTTTTTTGGAACGGATAGTAGTTCCATTGCATAGTCCTTTGTTTATGGACAGGTTTCTCAAAAGCATTACCATACAACCGATTTTTAAATTTAATTTATACGGTGGCAATCCAGATGGATCCAAAGTGTTTAGAAATTCTACCGGAATATTGACTTGCAAATCATGATCGTCTACACCATCATCATTTTTTACAGAGTCAATCGTGTAAAAACTCATTTGTTCAACATTTTTTAAATTTGTCAAAGCGCGTTCATTAATTAATCGAACATCTTCGTTTCTTGGGCAGAGAATTGCGCGTCTTGAAAATTTTTCAACATCAGTACAGGTAAAACTATTACCAAAAATATCTATAACTAAGTCATTAGATATTAGAGAAATCACAACTTCAACTGAAAATTGGGTTTTAGGTGTTGCTGGTAAAGGTATCATCCGATCTCCGATATCTAAAAGCCATTTAGAAAAATGAGGGTCTGAGATAGCTCGCATATTGCGTTTTAATTTGAATGTTTGAAGAAGAGGCCAAGCAGAAGATTTTATTGATTGTTGAAGCAATAATGGTACATCGAGATCCTTTTCTAATAACTGGCAGAACTTGCCGAAAGTCACCCCCTAAAACAGCAACCTTTCCACGGAAAGGTATTTGAACACCCATCACATCTTGAAATATTAAATCACTATTTCTAAAGCTCTACCTAGTGCCATGGGAGCTTAATCCCAAATAAGCAAATCTATCGATTTCAAAAATTTTTTTTTGGCTTGACTGAGTCTAGGAAATTTTACAGTAGAAAGGTCTAATGGTAAACTAAAGGTTGAATGGCATGTAATTTCACCTGGTAATAAAGTAGCAGCTATTCCTGTCCGTGATGCAACGATTAATTTTTTTACTAATGAGATTACCCTTTTGAATTAGGGCACAATACAAAAACGTTTTCCAGCTTCCACCGGGCCCCTCTAAATAAAAACATTTCTGCTAATTCAAAGCGACTATTGATTTTAAAATAGTATCCGTCGCTAAAATTTGATCACTATTAAGATCATTCCATAATAAATTATTACTATTAACAGTACAGCTAACTAAACTATCTTCGCGATCCCTAATATCTTCGAAATTCGGAAACGGTAAAAATTGATTAAAATCGAAGCCATCTTGTTGAATTTGCATTCGTATATCATTAACGCATAATTTTAGAGATTTTTCTACACTGTTTCCTTGTTGAATAAAATATTCAATCATATTTTCTTTGAAATCTTCAAAAATTTACAAAGGATTTGCAGGATTACAATGACAAATAATTGTAACCAATAATGATCGTAAAGACTTAGACATCATATAACTTGATGCTTCGTACATACAATTATGCCACTCAATGGAACCATTAATTCAACCTCTAACTCGCGTTGCTTCTTTGTATGTCGAATAGATTTGTCCGTTGAATTTTTTGAGATTTTCAAAAGATGTAGCGTCCGAACCTTTCACTGAGAGCAAAATCAAACGAAGATGATACAATTCTACATCTCTGGGAGATACAGAAATATTTCTACCGATTGTTTTTTCTCCGTAATGAGAAACCTCTGAACGTTTAACCCTTTTTTTATTTTTAAATACATGATGATTAAGAATATCTTGGTATACATATTGATGAGCACTCGAATCTGAAACATTTAAATCTAAATAGGCAGTTAAAGTTGTGCATGCGACTGACTCTCGTCACAAAGTAGTTTCAGCTTGATTCTCTTCGAAAAAGATGGATTGGCCATCTTTCAAATGAATAGACAACATGACGACATTATGAGATTGACCGTGAATAGGAAAATCTTGAAGATTCCAAGCTGCTTTTTGAGAATTAATATAACGACAATTTAAATATTGTTTGATTTCATCATAATCAACAACTTTTTCTAAATTGTCGTTTGAATTTACTTCGACGCCGATTCGAGCACAATCGTAACCCTTTGTAATATATTTGTTAATGTATTTGATAGCTTTAACAGCTGAACATAGTTCAGCATTAATATGAGCATTATATTTGATACTTAAAAATGAATTATATGATACAACAAAACAATTATCTACTGGAGTATTATTACGTGTAAAATGAACTTCGTTAGAATTATTTCTGCGTTTATATATTGGATAGCCATCTTTAGATACATCAGTTTCATTGCAGAAGGCTTTAGGAAAATTTTTGGAGCAAGATCCTTCAAATATACACATTGATTTAGGGTTTAATCGATCACATAGTCCGTGAATATTTTGCGTTAAAATTACGCTATACAAGTCGGATTGTATTTATCGATCCGGTAACTCAACAGAGATAATATTATCAACGTCGTCTGCAGTTTTAATTTTATCTTCATTGGAGAGTGTAAATAAACAATGAGCATGGGGAAGACCGCGTTTTCGATGCTCTATAACGTATACATATGCCAAAATTTCTCCGAAAAGTTTTCTTTTAACTATGTCATCTAAAAATTCTTTTAATTTTAAACGAAAGACTCGAGTTACTAAATCTGGTCTATCAGATGGATTTTGAAAAGGCTTAAGTTCGGATTTTATTGCTTCCCATTTAGGATTACATGTAAAAGCAATAAATAAATCAGAACGGCCAAATTTCCGAATCATCTCCATATTGTCCTGATATAATTTGGACATAAAACGGAGACCACCTACAAATGTTGAAGGAAGAATAAATATATTACCAACACGGGCAGTATTATCTCGACCGATGTTATTAACATGATCTAATAAACCTTTATACGATTCCACACGTAAAGTCTTTTGATTATTTCTGATATACGTCATTCGATTTGCTTCATAACAGGCATACAGTGGCTACCAAAATTATCCAACAAGCAGGTAAATTTTTTTTGTTTTATGTATATCTTAAAAACTGGATAAACTAGAACAGTCTGGTTTTCGGCATATTATAGTCTGTAGTGTNGTGTAACCCATTATTTATTTTTAAATACATAATGATTAATAATATCTTAGTATAAATATTGATGAGCACTCGAATCTGAAACACTTAAATCGAAATCGGCAGTTAACGTAATGCATGCGACTGCCTCTCGTAGCAAAGCAGTTTCAGTTTGACTCTCTTCGAAAAAGATGGATTGGTCATCTTTCAAATGAATAGACAACATGACGACACTATGAGATTGACCGTGAATAGGAAAATCTTGAAGATGCCATGCTGCTTCTTGAGAACTAATATAATGGCAATTTAAATATTGTTTGATTTCTTCATAATCAACAGCTATTTTTAAATTGTCGTTTGAATTTACTTCGACGCTGATTTGAGCACAGTCGTAACCCTTTGTAATATATTTGTTAATGTATTTGATAGCTTTAACACTTGAACATAGTTCAACATTAATATGAGCATTATATGTAAGACTTAAAAATGAATTATATGGCACAACAAAACGATTATCGACTTGAATATTTTTACGTGTAAAATGAGCTTCATTACAATTATTTCGGCGTCTATATATTTGATAATCATCTGTAGATACATCAGTTTCATTGCAGAAGGCTTTAGGAAGATTTGTGGAGCAAGATCCTTCAACCATACAAATTGACTTAGGGTTTAATCAACCACATGGTCCATGAATATTTTGCGTTTAAATTATGCTATACAACTCGGATTGTACATATTGATCCGGTAATTCAGCAGTGATAATATTATCAATGTCGTCTGCTGCTTTACTTTTATCTTCATTGAAGGGTACAAATAAACAATGAGCATGGAAAAGACCGCGTTTTTGATGCTCTATAACGTATCCGTATGCCAAAATTTCTCCGAAAATTTTTCTTTTAACTATGTCATCTAAAAATTCTTTTAATTTTGAACGAAATACTGGAGTTACTAAACCTGGTCTATCAGATGAATTTTGAAAAGGTTTAAGTTCGGATTTTATTTCTTTCCATTTAGTATTGCATGTAAAAGTAATAAATACCTCAGGACGGCCAAATTTTCGAACCATCGCCATATTGTCCTAATATAATTTGAACATAAAACAGGGACCACCTACAAATGTTGAAGGAAGAATATATATATTACCAACACAGGCGTTATTATCTCGACCGATGCTATTAACATGATCTTATAAACCTTTATACGATTCCACACGTGAAGTCTTTTGATTATTTCTGATATACGTCATTCAATTTGCTTCATAACAGGCATGCGCATAAACTAAATACTGTTGAAATAATTTTCCGACATAAAACAAAGGATTAAAATAATTTCGACGAATTGCAATCTAGTTTGAGTAAAATTCAAGTATCATTACTTTATTTCGTATATTAGTGACATGATCCATATTATGCGATAAATTTATGGTCCACCCAAAATCACCATTTGGGAAAAAAGTAGAAAAGTCATAGGATCGAGTTGCTTAGAGAGTATATTAATCATTTTCAGAGTATTTGAATTACCTGGCTGCACTCCAAAACCCACACCCAGCTGGAATATGACTATCACGGCCAGCTACATATACAATAGCAACATCATCTGAAGTTCGAGGTGCATTATAGATCCTTTGGTCATCATGAAGATTCCGAGTAAAAATCAAAGATATCTTTTTCACCGAAGAATCGATAATTCTCGCATTATATAACTCTTTTTCATAAATTTCCCGAAGTTTACGGTAGTAACTGGCATAAGGAGATACATCATTTTAAACTGCATTTATAGTAATCATATTATCACGAAGACATTGGGCATTCGCGGGGTCTGTCATTCGAATCTCAATAGAAGTGTCCGCATCGCAAACATATAATTCAGCATAAGATGGCTGATGAATAAGTTTTTGAACGGAATTTGGCTGTAAAGTAGTATCGATTTAGATATTTTCTGAAGTACAACGGTATACTTCAATTGGATATTTTAAAACAATATGAACTGTTTTCCGGAATGCCCTCAATCTTAGCGCCCATTGATGTGAAAGCGTTCGCATTATTATACTGTCGAATAAATTCGCGAAAGTTTTTACATTTTGAATCAATTCCTATGAAAAGGTTTTTTAACGCAATAGGAAAATTTTCAGTTCCATTCTGAACAGAAAGTTGAGATAGTTTGCCATTGTGACAGTACATGCTTTTCCATTCATCTTTAAAATAAACCGCTTCACAATACTGACATTCAATATTTAAAGGGCCAAGATTATGGATCTTAGAATAAACAAAATTTGGAGGCCCGCAAATAGCCGATTTAAAATGACTTTCTAAAGTATTTTGACGCCCGTTATTGACTCGATCATTAATAACTTGTCGATTTTCGGCATAATTTCTGCGTCTTTCATCTAATATTTCATCGCGATTTTCTAAATAATATTCATGATTTTGAGCTGAAATTACTTCTCGATTTTCACTTCTTTGTTCCAAAATTGCTTCACGATTTTCCGCGTAATGCAATCTGTTTTGAGCTCTATTTTTTTACAATTTCTTTCATCATATGTTCTCATATATTCTTTTCGTTTTTGTTATTTATCCGCCATTTTCAAAAACAAAACTTTAAAAAGTGATGGTTTAGAGTTAATCAATTTTATTACGGAAACTGTAATATATGTAATATACTTGCTGTTATTTCAAGTAAGTGTGATTCGTTCTTTTTTTTCTCATATATTAATTCTTGTTTCTTTTTCTCTCAATCTATGCACTGTAATCTATACTTTTTTATAAAAAATAACTTAATTTTTTTTATAAAGGGTGTGGATGTTAGAGTAAGGGACACACTAACATCCTGACCAATACCCACATCCTTTTCCGTCGAGAATTCGAATTCCTTCCTCAAAATTGTATGTTAAATTTTTTTCACGCCCCTAAAAGCTTTTGTAGAAGAATACACCACGAGAGCAAGTATATGATTCCGAGGAATTCATTGTGGATTTGGATTCCCCGACTCCGAAAATCTTTGATTCAACTAACTTTATAAGAAATTGTTTGGAAAATTTGTGTTTGAACGATACGATCAAAATGAAATCATATTTTCCTCATGTCAAACACTTAATCGCTTAATTTTAAGTGAATTAAGTGTTCAGTGAAACCACTTAATAAGTTAACTTAATTAAGTGAAATTAGAATGAAGGGTCCACTCCTAGGGGTATCTACGAGGCGAAATGGATTTTACATCTCTCTCCTATACAGTGGTTTCCCAATAGAAAAAAAAAATTAAATCCAATTTTGATTCCCAAGAGATCTTTGTAAAGCAAAGTATTTCGCTTAATCCTTTTTCCCCTTCATCGCATTATCCTGATACTCAGGTGGAAAAGTTGAACATAGATCGTACCAGATCTTATTGGCAATCGGATGTCCTAAGATTCATCCATTGGGATCTTACGAAAGCTTAAAAATACGTTACTGTACGATTTACTACGTTTCTTGCTATAAGATTGTTACAAAATGTGATGGTTGTGAGTGTGCGTATGCGTGATGTAGTAGGTGTGGACGTGAATGAAGAACATTAATACCCGCATCACACATACACACCCGAAATGTGTACCAAAAGCGTTGGCAAAATATATGTCAAGCTATGCTCGATCAGAGAGGCTCCCACGACACTAACTGGAAGTCATATTAGCAAGAGCAAATTATATTATTCTCAACTACCTCCACTAGTTCTACAACAATATCTACTTTATACAGTGTACTACTATGATTAACAGCTCACTAGATAATCATAGTTATGATATTAAAGCAACTCGTTTTCTAGATAGGGCTCGAAATACCCCCTCATCGAAGGACTTTAGTCTACTTTCAGATGTTCTTATCGATTGGCATGCTGCTTCTTCACCAAATGATCTGCTGTTGAATTGGAAACGTCACAGAAAATTGCACTCACGTCAACCATATTTGTCTCTACGTATACTCTGCTTACACGTTCGTTGTCTCGATCTAAGATCGGATGAGGTTTGTCTGCTGATGAAAAAGCATCGTTTCGATATTATAATGCTAGGTGAGGTCGGACATGTTGACTTCTCTCTAATAGATGCCGGATTTTCTAACTACCGTTTCTTATATCAAGCTGGTGAGAACACACACGATGGTGTGCTCGTAATGATACACAATGACATTCCAATTACGAGAATTGCTAGCTCATTGCTGAATATCTGCGTAATTGATTTCCTGTTAGAACAAACAATTGAACTAGTGGCATTATATGCACCGTCGAGTAAAACCTAGGAATGACTAAACTTGTCATCTTTCGCTACCAATCATTGCATGATTATGGGGGATTTTAATATTGACATTGAAAAAGATGATAAAAAAGCAGACCGACTACTCAAATGGATGGGTTCATGCTCTCTAGAGGGTCATTTGTTACGGATACTAATACATCTATTCGTTCGGACCGTGCAATCGATTATGCCGTAGCAGTAGGCGTGGATCTAACAATTCAAGCATATGAAGATGGAACTTGTAGTGATCATAAGCCCCTACTAGGTGTGCTAGCATTCGGCAGCTTTGGGACGCACGAATGATCTCGAACAGTATGACCGATCTTCTTGCTGGTGTTGTCGTTTACATCAGGCTTCTGGGAAACGGAATGCAATGAAGGGATCTAATGATGTTACGCATGAACGATTTATAGTTTTCCTTACACTACTTGCTGCTAGACGTAAAAAATGCTTTACTCTCAAACGTGCTCGATCTATTTTTCCGCCAGAACTCATGAAACTCTTAGCTCAAGGTCGTTCACTCTCTTTCAAGGCGAAGTGAAAGGGAGACATGTTGCTTCAACAGGAAGCTCTTTGACTACGGAATGTCACTCGTATCGAACTAAAACGTTTTCAACAGTCTCAGCTTACCCAACGACTAGAAGAACACTTATCTAGTGAAGGTTTTACATTATTTTGGAGTCAATCAAAAAGACATTTTCGGACCGTCTCTTCATCATTAAGAGGTTTTTCGCTACCGAATGGAGAAATAATAAAGGATTCTCAAGTAATGCTGAATATGGCTGCGAACTATTATGAAAAGCTATTCGAAGCACCAGTCATTGTACGTTCGCACCCGTATGTTGATGCGCCCTCAGTTCAATGAGAAAATGTGTCGGAATCGATACCCGTTGGTGATTTATCCGGAAATTTAAAATGTGCTACTTACGAGAAAAAAGAACAATCGCTAGATATTCATGGGCTCTCACTCTATATGCTTGGTAAAATTCCTGGAAATTATTGGCATCTGTTTGTTCAACTATATAATTATTCCTTTGCTAAATGCTACATACTAAAGAAATTTAAAGAAGTAAGAATGGTATTACTGGCTAAGAAAAATGTTATATGTGTACCTGATCAAACAAGGCCTAGCGAGTGATCCAAAAGTCTTGGTCGTTGTTAGAAAAATTGCCCGTTCCCCCTTATTACAAATTCAAAAAAGCTCAAAATTGGAGCGATAGTACCTTACATCTAGATGAATGTCCACCTAAATTTTCAGATCTCTAGTGTTTATTATAAGGGAGATGTATATAATTATATGATACAATAGACTTTTTTGCTATGTTCCAAAAAAAATCAATAAATATTATCGAAAATAAATGACTAGAATAATTATTTTCGCTATTGATACAAGAAAAAACAACAGAATATTTTTAATTTTCAGAAATCATTACAGTTTGTTTTGTTGATTGTATAACCTTCTTTATTGATTGAACATTGTAATCTTCTTGGTATTAAATTAATCAATTTTGAGCACATTTGTGGAGTGATTGTTCTGCAAATATTGACAATTTTGCTTTTCAACATCGGTAAATCTTCAGTTTCTTCTAGTGACAATTTCTCTTTTATATAAGCTCATACACTTTCTATCGGCCAAATATCCGTCATTTTATCAGCTTGTTCTTCAGGTTTAATACGATCATCGAAAATTTCGTCTATTCTTTCTAATGCATAATGTGACCTGTGTTTCAAGTCCCCGTCATCCAGCCATATGACACTGACATCATCATATAATTGATTGATATGAAGTTTTAACTGTTGTTCCACTAAGT